GGATTCATAATGCGGTTAAGTACAAATTTGCTAGTTCAAAAGGATTTAGTTGTGACTTAAGTCCTCGCTGTGTCTTCCTGGTTCCATCACTGCACCTTAATCTGCAAAATGAAGGCTCTGTCTGTGACCCAGAAATTCTCTTCCTCCTCTGAAACTCCCAGCATGTGGAACTGGTGGACAGGAGCTGTACCAACATGGAGATTCTATCCATAACAATGTCTATTCCAGTATGCATTCTGGAACCGGGAAATAATCACAGGATGGATTCAGGGATCTACTGGACCCACTCTGAGATGGGCCTGAGCTACAATTCCATGATCACCCAACCTCCATGAGCCCCTACACCGACTGGTGGACCTCAGTGACATTTTGGGTCTCCTGGAATTAGTGTCAGTTCAGAACCGGTGAGCCCCCTAAAGTCTGATTATCTCCTTCCCCCCTCGGGATTGCTACCCTAGTAAAAGTTTGTAAGTCCCTTGGGAAAGGCTGAGTGAAAGACTAAGGTATATAGTTTCCGTGGTGTCTGGGGGTTCTCCCTCAAGGGACCCAGCCTCCCCTTCATTTGAGGAGTTCTGGGTCTGCAGACTGCAGTCGAGTCTCGGAATTCACTGATGGGCCATGACTCTCATGAGCCTCATGACTGTTTATGATTCAAGTTAAACTTTCATTCACTTGACCTAGAATTCTTCTGTTTATACAGATCAAGTAAGACTTCAGCAAACTTCCCATCTATTTCACTTCTGGCAACAACACCACGATCAACTAGCCAAAGCCATATAGGTCCACCCCCGGCAGGACCGGTGTCCTTTAAGTAACCAAACCTGCCCTGCCTTGAGCAAATAAACCTCAGCATTTTGGAATTTACAATGGGAGGAGGAAAGAAATAAACGCATGAAAAGCAAGTATTTGCAGGGAGGGCTGGTCTTAGAATGGGCCTCTCTGGGGCCCTGAGTGCCAAGGGCTCTGGGAGAAGAACCTCTGAAGCAGAAAAGATGGCAAGAGCAACACTCCTGGGAAACACATGGAGCATCGATGTGTCTGAGGCCAGGTACCCATACCAGAAGAACTCCAGCATTCTGAAGCCTTATTTCCTTGGCCATTCAGTTTTACTTAATTTAAAACCCAGATCAGATGTGGATAGAGGGAGCTCTTAACTAAGTAGAAAAAACAAGATCTCTGGAGAAAGCAGAGCCTTGGCTGAGACGCCCCAGAGGTTCAGAGACAGCGTGTCCAAATGGAACTCTAGAGCTGCTGAGAAAAGCCCTCTCTCATGGAGACAGTGCCTCATGTGCTGTGTACAGGTGATATTACCCATAAACTTGGGTGAGGAAGAGAGATAACTTTCTTCATTTTCCTTAACAACGTCAGTCCTCAGGTTCCCTCAGCGCCTGGATCGCACAAAACTCTGAGTGTTTTGCCACCTGGGCTACCCCCTCAGCTGCACCCCCAGCCTTGGTAATCTCTATCTCTTCTCACAAAAAAAGAATCAGGCTAACAGATACATGAAAAGTTGCTCAACCTCACTCATCAGCAAGGAAATACAAGTCAAAACTACAGTGAGATACCACCTCATGCTAGTCAGCACGGCTAAAATTAACAACACAGGAAACAACAGATGTTGGAGAGGGTGTGGAGGAAAGGGAACCCTCTAACACTGTTGGTGGGAATGCAAGCTGGTGCAGCCACTCTGGAAAACAGTATGGAGGTTCCTCAAAAAGTTAAAAATAGAGCTACCTTAGGACCCAGGAATTGCACTACTATGTATTTACCCAAAGGATAAAAAAATACAGATTCAAAGGGATTCATGCACCCCGATGTTTATAGCAGCATTACCGACAATAGCTAAGCTATGGAAAGAGCCCAAAAGACATATGGAAAGAACCCAATTGATGAATGGATAAAGGAGACACACAATGGAGTACTATTCAGCCATCAAAAAGAATGAAATCTTGACATTGCAACAACACAGATGGAGCTAGTGTATTATGCTAAGCAAAATAAGTCACTCAGAGAAAGACAAATACCGTATGATTTGACTCTATGTGGAACTTAAGAAACAAAACAGATTACAGAGGGAAAGGGGAAAAAGAGAGGGAAACAAACCATAAGAGACTCTACTACAGAGAACAAACTGAGGATTTGTGGAAAGGAGGTGGGCGGGTGATGGGCTAGATGGGGGATGGGCATTCAGGAGGGCAGGTGCTGTGAGGAGCACTGGGTGTTGTACATAAGCGATGAATCACTAAATTCTACCCCTGAGACCATCCTACACTCTATGTGAACTAACTAGAATTTAAATACGAACTTGAAACAAAAATACATAAATAAAAATAAAAAACAAAACAAAGCCCAAAAGAAGAATCAGTCTGGAAAGCCCGAATGACCTTCCCAGGGTCCCCAGTAAAGGGCAGTGGCAGGGTAGACTTGGATTTCTGGACTCCCAGTTTTGTGCCAACTTGGCAAAGGCACAGTGCATTAACCTCTGGTATCACAATTCATGGAGGCTAGCTGAGCTAGCAAGACACAGTCTGTGCTTTGCCAGGTAGATTACGTTATTTAGAAGTCAGCAGCCCTGAGCCGCTGGCTGAAGAATGATTTGTCTGCAACAGGGAGGAGGATGATAGCATGAATATACCCAGGCAGTCTCTGCTTCTGTCCTGCCCTTGTATTAACTTCTAGACAGTCCATTAGTTTAGGAGTGTTCCGCAGCCACCATAATGGCCCTTTCTCTGCAGTCAATTGGGTTGACCACATCACAATCCAGAATTGGCAATTAAAACTGCCGTAATAATTTGACCACACTCCGGTACCTTTGAGTTTATGGATATCACTGAAATTTCCTCTATAAAACTGTAAATGGAAAGGACTGGAAAGTTCAGAATTTAGGCCGTTAAGCTTTTTTCTGACATGGTATTACGTAGGTAAGAGAAAGTAAAGGGAGGGTTTAGCCTTTCCTGATGGCAAGAATGTCTTACCCTATGGACCCTCAGAATCTGGTCTTTTAACAAATAGCCCCAAATAACACATGTTCTTCCTCAGGCACCCCAATTCACTGCTATAGCCCTTTGAATCCATGATCCGAATTACTTCCCCAGGTCACCCATGTTATTTTGGCAATCTCACACAGAGCTCTGAGCACCAAGGGAAAGTCTCCCTTCTCTATTATTCATTACAAAGCAAATTATTGATTTTGATCATTTTTTCCCCTAAGGAAAAAATAATTTTATGCTTTCCCAGACTTTCCAACCTTCTTGGTTTACTGGACTGGTCAATGGGAATGTCTTCACTCTAAGGAAAGCTCCTGATTTGGGCAACTTAGTCACGTATTTGTCAAGTGCCCACTGTGTGCAGAATGTAGCATATGAAGGGCTATAAACAGATGAAAAGACACATCAGAAAAATCTGTGAATAATCCACCAATCTTAATATGCACATACTACATCTTGTGGCATAAAGTGATACAAATTTTTTTTCTAAATATTTTGAATGAGTTATAAAAGTGATCCATTAGTTTGCATGCAGAAATGTTTGTACCCATGAAGTAACCAGATCATACAGTCTTTCTCTATGATGGCTTATATTCCTTCTCATCTTAGTTCTGATTTTAAAGTACTACTGGAGTTAATTAAGGAAGACATGCTGCAGTTCTCTGACCTTCTCTTTTGGTCAAACTATGTTTTGCTGTGTGGGTTCCACTCTCAACAACCACAACTGATACGCCTCTCAAATTCATAACCCAGGACTGTCTCCTTTCTCTTCTCTATTTATTTACTTTTATTTTATAGTATTCCTACTGATTCATCTTCTGATAGATATCTCGGAAAGAACATCTCTAGTGAAAATAAAGTTCTCAAATAGAAATTTTGTATTTTTACTTTTTCCATATCAGAGCAGAGTATCTTCGACTCTCCTAATTAAGCTATTGGGGTTTCCTCAGCTGTGGATTTACTTCGTAGAGTCAACAGGTGATTCCAGCTCTTTAGGGATAATGATTACAACCCTGGCTACACTTTCGCGGGTTTCAGTTATCTGTGGTTTCAACCCCCTGTAGTCAACCTCAGTCCAAAGCAGATGCTCCTCCTTCTGACTCATCATCAGAAGGTCAGTTACAGCCTAACACTACGTCACGATGCCTACGTCATTCACCTCATGTCATCTCATCACATAGGCATTTTATCATTTCACATCATCACAAGAAGAGTGAGTACAGTTCAGTAAGATATTTTAAGAGAGACCACATTCACATAATTTTCATTACAGTATATTTTTATTATTGTTCTATTTTATTATTAGTTACTGTCAATGTCTTACTGTGTCTAATTTATAAATTAAACTTTATCGTAGGTCTGTAGGTAGAGGAACAAGCATAGTTTCTATAGGGTTTGGTACTATCTGCAGTTTCAGACATCTGCTGGGGGTTCTGGAATGTACCCCCGTGGATAAGGGGGAGAGTATGGGACTACTCCACTGTACTTGGCCAACATCACAACTTCCATTAATTCAACAAAAATCAAGAACTTAAAAATGGAACATGATACATCTCAAGAAGTAGGCTTCCTACCAAGTTAGATAGTTAACACAGATCAGTAAAATAACATTTGCTTGAGACACACTCATCCTGTACTTAAGAGCAAGCCTGAATAGTTTGAACCTATACTAGCTCATAACAGGTAGGACCAGGGTTATTTCTTGCTGAAACTAAATTTTCAGAAGAAAAATACACTTAGGAATGCATTCTACCCTAGAAACAAGATTCCACTTAAACTAAAACTCATTTCCTAGAAGTAAAAATACTACCAGAATCAGCCACAAGAACACAGAATTGTGTTCTCCTTTACGGCTGATAATTATGTATCTAAGAACCAGTATCATGTTCCTAAGGCTGACGTGAAGATAGGGAAAGAAGTGTGTTAAGGGGTAATTTCCCAGTAATGAGTGAAGAACATGTACAATTATGAAGAATAAACATTACTGTGAGATATGAAGGGAAAAAAGCTTACCCGAATCCAGAAAGTAAGCGACAGAAGAGAAAGAATCCATAACCTTGGACAAATGAAGAAAGGAAGGCGAAGAATCCATTGATAGACATGCAAATCAGAAGAGACTGCTTTCTTCCCACTTTGTCTGCCAGTCCTCCCCAGAAGAAAGCCCCTGCCATCATCCCAAGGTACACTATGCTGCCTGCAACACACAAAAAACAGAGAAACGTGTCAGACTGGGAGTAAATGACGCATGTTATATCAAATGAACAAGAGACAAATACATTTCGGCGTTTTTCATGGGAAAAAATTCCTTTAAAAAAATACATCCTTCTGGATACACAAATCACCTTTCAAGCTGGAAAGTAAGCTCTGTGGGTTACCTTTAGCTGTCACAACCAAGGACAGAGGCAAAAGAAAAAACAATGATATTCTCGCTTGGCTCGTGAGAATGGGTACATAGTGGGCAGGCACAAGGAGTCTCCACACAGGACAATCCTGGAGTTTGACTCACGGCATGTTGCCTTTCGTGCAAATGCCCGGCTTAGCACATGACAAGGCCAAGATGGGAGACTGAGTCAAGGGCTTCCTGGTCAAAGTGGATCCCCCAACCTGCTTCAAATCTCTGCTTGTAACAGATGATAGGGCCAAAGCCAGACTCTTACAGGCTCCCTCGAAGATTCCATGGGTTCTTTCTCCCTAGTCTCTCCTAAAAGCCCTGGCCCTTCCCTGGGAAGGAAAGGGAAGCTAGGGAAGGTGGGTTTAGAGATCACAAGAGTTAATCTTAAAATAGTCTCAAACTCTGCTTATAAGGAAAAACTTTCTCTTGGCATCAGAAGCTTAAGGAGGAGCCTAAGGAGAAGAAAAATAGCTGTTGCAGTTTGGGAGCTGTTAAACTTATCATGGCTGGCTTTACTTCCATAGTGGAAACAAATGGAAAATCAAGGGTTAGATCAATGTCCCTCTTGGTGTCACTGTGAGTACAAATTTCCTTTCCTCTCCTTTTGTTTTCTTTTTAAAGTAGGCTCCATGCCCAGCATGCAACCCTGAGATCACAATCTGGGCTGAGATCAAGAGTCGGACCCTTAAATGACTGAGCCACCAAGATGCCCTGTGAATTTTCTAATTCACTTGCTTCATCTAAAAAACCAGGCCCCCAGAAGCCCTGTCCAAAATCTTTCTTAAGATGAAATAGTACTAGGTATGGCAAAAGTTACTTCAGAGATGTTTGTAAAAGGGTGTGTAATATCTAGGGGAAACGACATAATTAATAAGTGGAAGTTTGTTATATCTGGGTGAGGTATTTACAAAGCTATTACTACACCTCTCATCCATTTCTGCTCCCCCACCTTCACCAAATCACCACTTGAATAGTTCTTTTTCAAAGGCACATTCAAGATACTCAGCAGCATCTAAGACACAAGTTAGAAAAACACATTGATTTATTGTCTTAGATTACTTTGGGAAATATCCTATTTAAACACTCACCCTGAACTCATTTGCTTAACACACAGTTAATGGATCAATACGAGACCCAGAAGGAGAACACCTGGAAAAGTCTGATGACCTTGACATCAATGACATGTGGATGCTGTTCTGCATATAGCTGAGTATAGGCAGTTATAGTGAATGGCAAATGTTGGCACAATTGTACAGTAAGACAAAATAGAGGCCATTTTTATTCAGATTTGAGCGCTGCAAAAGGGTGAGTGGTCCTTTGCCTTGGTGGGGAATGACATATTTCTCTTTATTATGGTGCTAACCATACACAGAGCAACCTTCTCAAAAGAGAAAAAAAAAAAAGATACTTATATCACGAAGGCGAGTGCATGGTTACAAGACAATTTAAATAATGTATCAGCACAAGGCAAAGGAATTCCCAAAGGAGACAGATTCACCCAGGGAAATGCATATGCAGCAAATCTCTTATTTATAGTATAAGGGGCTCAAATCAGCTACTCAAGCCTCTCAGAAGAATAATCAATAGCTAAGCTTCTCATAATAATATCTGTGACTTTAAAAAAAAATGCCTACAAACCAGAAGGTGAACTCCTTTAGATCAGGAGGGGGACTGTGACTGCTGCAGTCCAAAGATGTGGGAATCTTTCTTGTACCTCCAGCCCCAAGGACAAAAACCAGTTCCTAGCAATTGCTGAACCCTTACCAGCTCTAAGTGTTTGTATGAATTAATGTATTTGTTCCTTACAACACTCCCTTGAGGTTAATACTATGGAACCCAGTTCATTCGCACAGAGAAGCGAACGATCTGACCACAGAAAAGTGAGTGGCGACTACATCCCAGCCCATCAGCAGTTCTTCATGCAACATGGTTACAATTCCTTTAATAATCCTGGATGCCCTGCCAAGAAAACATCCCAGTCTGCCCCAGCCCCTATGTGGTGGTACCACCCAAAACTGAAAGCACTGTTTGAAAGGTCTCTGAGGTGTGTCCTTCTTAACTCACAAAATCAGAGTTAAGGCAGGGTAGCTGAATATCATGGGCAGAAGCTACAGGGAAATGCTGCTTCATTCTACACAAGCATATGACAAGGGGTGCACCATTTGTTCTCAGATACTCCAAATAGGCACATCCCCACCTGCTGGTGGGAGGTAAGCGGGTCAATGCTGAAAACAGCTCAGGGGTGCCAAGGAAAAATGAACACCCAGTATCTTACTAAACAGGACACACTATGGAGGTGCCTGAGTGCCTCAACTGGTTAAGCATCTAACCCTGTTTTGGCTCCGGTCATGATCTCAGGGTTGTGAGACTGAGCCCTACAGCCAGCCCCAAGCTAGACGTGGAGGCCGCTTAAGATTCTCTCTCTCCCTTTCTCTCTCTGCCCCTCTACCCAGCCCTAAAGAAAAAAGGACATGCTATGTTCCAAAGAAGGGCAACTAGGGCAACTCCCTTGCGTTTCTGGTTGTAGGAGGGATGGTGCTGCTGTTGGACTGGGCTCTATATCTTATCATTCTCCTTATTCTAGGCAGTCACCTGCAGTCTCATCTTTACTAAGCCAGATCATGGATTTATGAAGTGATGATTCCAGCACTTTAAGGACTCATAACTGGTTTCTAGATTTTCCCAACTGGCAGTAGTGTGAGAACACAGCCCCACCCTGGGAGCTTCTTAAAGCTCAAAGGAAGGGCTGAGTGAGCCGAGTTTGCCCTTGACTTCTGTGATGGTGAGGGTTCAGTGACTTGACAAGGGGCAGAGCACCCACATTTATCATTAGCATTTTGTACTTAAGCCACCCCCAAATTACACTCATTAGAGGTTTTAATATATAAAAGACTAAAATAAAAATGGCCCATCCTTCAATTCCTCCAGATATCCTTAATACACACCCACTCACTATATGTATATATATGTGTGCATATATATATGTATGTATATATATATACATACATAGAATATATGTATATTCTATGTATGTATATCTACAACCCAAATATGCCTACATGGCCAAAAATTCAAAGCACATGGAAATATAGCAAATGAAAATTTCCTTCTCCCCTGCCCTTGACCCTCTTCCCAAAGGTAACTATTATCAGTTTTTCTAATTCTTCTAAAAAGTTTATACCTATAACTGCATAGAAAAATGGATAATCTTTATGAATTTCCTATTAAATACAGTTTTTGTGGGGCACCTGGGTGGCTCGATGGGTTAAGCCTCTGCCTTCGGCTCAGGTCATGATCTCAGGGTCCTGCGATCGAGCCTCGAGTCTGGCTCTCTGCTCAGCAGGGAGCCTGCTTCCCTCTCTCTCTCTGCCTGCCTCTCTGCCTACCTGTGATCTCTGTCAAATAAATAAATAAAAGTCTTTAAAAAAATAGTTTTTGTTCTGTGTAATATTTATCTTTTCTCCTGTTGTATATAGGATTTCTGAACTTAGCAAACTAGAAATAAATCTGTCAGAATTTTAATAATTACTTCAAGACACATTTCATTTATTTCAGAAAAGCATGCACTATCAGCTACCAGGGGAAAACCAAACAGTTATTTCTCCATCTTGTATTTTTTCTGTGCCTAAAATTAATACACCACAACCTCCTTGAAAGAGACAATGTCAAATTCAATTATAAAGAATTTACTGAGCATGCACTTGGCCTAACTTTTCCTGAAGTGCTAGAAATACAAGGATTGATAAGTCACAATCCCTGAGCTCACCCAGGGAGAGCCTGAGCAAGCCTTTATCTGGTGCCCAGTCCAAGCCAGGAGAAGAGGGAGACAGTGGCACACCCACTATTTCACACCACCCTCCCGACACCCCATCTGATCATGGACATTACAGAGTGGAACAGCCAGGTCAAAACCTTCCATGGCCTCCTGGGAACACATGACCAGGACAGGGCAGTGCTGAATGCACACCCAGGGATCTCGGTTCTAAGTCCCTGAACTCTTTCTGTTCCATCCAAATGGCTTAAGGAGCACATAATTCAGTGAGGGAGACCTCAGACACACAACAGAAGGAGCCCAGCCATGAGGTATGCACGCCAGTAGAGCATAAGTGGGAGCAAAGCGACAAGAGGTGGTCGGTAACTGACTGGACTCTGGGAAGGTTTCACTGAGAAGGGGCTATCTAAGAGGACTTCGGAGGAAAAGGAAGATTTTGAGATGGTATTAAATTCCTCCATACGCAATAGGTTTACCAAAACAAAATACAGTATCAAGTTGTATCTTCACTTCTATTCTGGTTAAGAATATGTGTCAGATCTAAAGATAACAATCTTTCCAGGCTACATTGCTTATTATTGGTAATTAGCCTGTCCCACTGGGTGTGCCATGGACAGGAATTCAGCCTCTCGTTGAGCTTATTTGAGACAGACAGCACAATAAGAAGATTCATTTATTGACTGTGTGACCTAATTAAAGACAAACCTTTGAATGTTAGCAAAGGCACAGAGTGAATAAAACTGGAAACACTCTGGGATTGTCAGAACATAAGCTGTATTTCCTGACTTGTTTGTTTCCATGTTGTTTTCACTGTGTGCTGGTTTCCATGTTGTTTTCGCTGTGTGTTGATGGATATTCCGGGAAAACCCAGAGCAGCGATACATGCTCTTGACACAGACCGCCCTCCTGCTCTCCACTCCTCATGACGCTGCTGATGGTCAGAATTCAAAGGTATGTTAGTCCATAAGGATAGGAAAACCAGTGCTGTGAGAAGCCAGTACTTGAAATCAGGTCTTCTAGATTCTTGCTC